ATCGGTAGAATGGGCCATGTTGGCTGATATTCGAAAGATTATCGATTAATTAAACGAATTTAAAAGAATACGGGGTTTGGGTAACTTGTTGGTGTACTTTCGTTGCGCAACCTTAAACTATTACAATTCTAACAGACTTGCTGTTGCAGAGGCTGAATGTTACAGGACTCGATTATTAACGACCATACGGCATAGCGCTTAAGGTGTGGGTTTGTTTGTTATGCAAGGCTTATGCCGTTATAAATAAATGGATCAATCACATGTATGAGTGGTGAAACGAACAAGCTATTTGCGACTTGGAAAATATCATTTCGATGAAATGCAACTGCACAAAAGAGTTGGGCGCATCATTATTCATAATGAAAGCAATGAAACGTGTGAATTGTAGATATACTAAGAACAAATCTGAGCTAGACCCTATAGGGGAAAAATGTTTAAATAATTTACTTAGTCTCTTCAAAAGAGCATTCTTGGATTGTGAAAGGAAATTGCAAGCTGAAAAGAAAAATCAATGATTCCTTGGAGTTTGGTAACTGCTGAAAAGAAATTAGTAGGTCAAAATATAATCAATGCAGCAAACGAGAAAGTGTCTTTTAGAAATTTGTTACACAATAATTTGATGCCCTCAACTCATCAGCAATGGAAAAAACCTGAACTGTTGGAATAAGACTGAACACTGTTACCAATGTGTGGTGATATTTAATATAGTGGATATTGGATGATCCAAATGTCTGAATAAAAATTCATGTTTATAGAATCCAAGAGGAGATTGTGGTTGTTGGTTTTTATTTACGAATTTTTCCGCATGACAAATCTTCCTAAGTTCAAAGATTGTTAGCAAAAAAAGGAGTGAAGAAAATGTTCGATAGAATTTGGGTGCTCTCCTTGATGTAAGTGAGTGAGATATCTGCCAAGTAGCTATTACAAAGCAGATGGCCGGAAAATATATAATGTCTCGCTTTGCAGGCATCTTCGTTCCCATGCGAATTAAGAGGTGAAGGCAATTGAGAGATTTTGTACAATTATTCTAATTATGTTGCACCGTCTGATAATGAGTGTGAATTACTAAGATTACATTAAATATTTATCTAATAAACAATACAAATATGACCTTCAAGAATCAGCCTCAAAGTCCAACACTTCCATTATAGTTTTGCCTTCCCGTTGCAATAAAATAACTGCCTTTGTATCATTGAAAGCGAGTCTCCACACTGCATTGCCAGCTGAAGTTAGTTCACGGATGAAGGTGCCCGTCCGTATATCCCATAACTTGACGTGACCGTCATTACCACCAGATACGATCCTTTTGTTATCGAATTGTAAACAAGTAACCGAATTATCGTGAGCAGCCATTCTGTGAATACACTGATATGTTTCCAGATCCCAGATCCGAATTGCACCATCACTGCCTCCAGTTACAAGAGTAGTATCCTTGAGTTGTATTTGGCCGACAAGCGATGTATGTCCTTGTAGTATACCTAGGCATTGGCCTGACGTTGGTGACCATACTCTAGCTGTTGAGTCAAGTGAACTAGCGAGTTATCGACAAATTGAACGAGAGGGACGTTAATAGAAACAGCGAGTTTGATCAAAAACAAAATTCATTAAGTGACATTTTGGGAGTTTTGACATTTGTTTGGCATTCTGTCTTACCCAGTTATAATCCTCTCGCCGTCAAACGCTATTGAGTATATTTGAGAATAATGTCCATGGAGAACATGGAGGCATTGACCTGTCGTCAGATCCCATACCTATCAAACGAGGATAAAACGGTCTTTAATTAAAATCATATAAATGTTAAAGATATCGGTTCAATTTTCGTTCAAAGAACCTACGCGGGCTGTGCAATCGTAGCTTCCTGATACTACCAAGTCCCCATGTATCTCCATACATCTAACGCTAGCTTCGTGTCCAGCGAGTAAATGCAATAGTACGCCTTCTTGTATATCCCATACTCGCAATAACGTATCGCGTGACCCGCTGACGGCTATTCTTTTGTCTTTCATTTTTAATGATCTTACAGTTGACGTATGTCCATGTAAAACGTGTTTGCATTGTCCTGTATTTAGATCCCAGACACGCACATCTCTAAATAGACAAATCGATTTGAGAGCACATTTAGAACGTGAGATATAATATCAACCTGGGTATTCATTATCACACACACGCCTCGAGACATTTGCCCACATGCTCAACGAAGTAATCGCGTACTGTTTCCTACCTGTCGCATCCGCCAGATACCAATACTTCATCGATATATTGCAAAGCCCATACGCCGCCTTCATGACCTGTAAGTGTTTTTACATGTTTCCCGTCAGACGCAACGAATACATGAATCTTCTTGTTATCCATTCCGACAACAATATAATTTCGACACATTTGCAACGAAGTGACTACTCCAACATCGGTACTAATATGAGTAACTAGAGTTCTTCCTCCGTTCTTCCAATTCGACTCTACAATATAACGGCGCCGGAAATGATCTTTGTACGAAAAGTGACTGGATCGTTTGTTTGACGATAAATCTGAAGATTCGGATGAAGTAGGTGAAGGAGGTGATGATAAGGACACTGAGCTACGTCTCCTATAATGATGACGTACACATAGATTCTTCCATGTAAATTCATCGTTGAGCAAAGTATGCCAAAATTTAGATACACAGGATGCTCTTGATAACGTCTTAGGATCATTTATAAATGATAGTATATGAAGGCTTATCTCAATAGGAAGTTCTTTTAGGAAATCTCTTTTCAGTCGAGGTGAAATATAATTAGATACAAATACAAGCTGTTCATTATTACATAAATCTAAAAGTTCGGCCAGCAGACGCTGTCTTTGTAAATTGTCCATATTCTGAAAACCCATTCTTACTGTTCTGTTAAAGTCGTCTGGTCGATTGGTAATAGGATATCCGTCAGGCAAGTGAGGAAGTAATTGTGGTGAGGGCGCTGGAGTTGGTAAACTATGAAAAGTTGTTGTAGACACCCAGGGTACAGGAGGAGGCGGTGAGGAACGCTGCATAGTTGGTCAAATATGCACGGTAATAAATACTGTTTTATAGTAGATTTTTATACAAACAAAAAAGTTTGGGTGACGGGCTGTAATCTATGTGGTGTGCAGAGGTTAATTAAGGTGAAAGTATGAGAATGGAGAGCAAAAGCGGAAGTCTGAGAGTAGGAAGAGGGAAGTTCAAGATTAGGAAGAGGGAAGAGAAGGGAGATGCCAAGACAAAGGGTAATAGTACTAATAAAGAAAGTAAATATCCAAGACAGAACGTGGGATTATATAGGCATACTGCCAGAACAATGAACAAAACGCCACAGAGCTCTTTCAGGGGTACAAAACTGCTGAACGCCACAGACTTGTCTTACCCTCATTCTTTTCATCATTTAATTAATTAATCAAATCTGACGACGAATGTTACCCTTCCTATTATATCATCATCAACTAAAGCACAAATTCAAATAATACTTATTCAAAAAAAGAAGCTTTCTTGGTTGAGTTAGTGGCTGTACAATTTAAGAACTCGATGATCTTTCATTGTAGTAGCAATAATAATAATAACTGATAAATCCACATTCTCATTGAATAATTCCGTGGTTTAAAAGCTCACGCAAGGCCTCTTTTAGAGAATGAAACGTTTTTAATTTCCGTCACAAGCGTTTATGTAACTTGACAGTGTATGCTAAGTAGAGTAATTCTGATTGTCCCTATTGAATTAATACGAAACGTGGTTTGTTTGAAATTTCTGTTTCTGATTTGTGTATCAAAACCAACTGTTTCAAGTTAATAGTCATAATGGTGTTTTAAGCCATGTTAACTGTTCAACGATATATATCGCTTCATTATAAGCTTACATTATCTCGACAAGATAAATTCAACGAGTCGGAGATAGACTTAGAATATGCTGCTTTCTTAAGGCTGTACAATACATAAAGCGCAATTAGTTTGAAGAGCTAGATATAGAATTAAAACTTTGACTTTTTCTTTCAATATTTCTTTGAACAATGTTTCTTGCCAGTTGGAGTTATAATTTACCGAATCAATGAAATGGTGAAAAGTAAACATTTTCCGCCCACATATGCATATTAAAAGGTTATAGACACGAACTATAATTAATCCTATTACAAACTATTGGTTGTTCGATAGTGCTATTCTACGAATAATTGGGTTTGTCAAATTTATATTTAAATCGTTGAGGAATAAATTATCACGGCGCATAATAACACAGCAAATATAACGATAATCAAACAAACCATTAAAAAGTAACCGGTTCAAAAGGCTTCTAAGTTGAACCTTTTCGATAACAAAGGCCCGACTTGTTTACTTTCGTATAAATAAAATACCACAATTATGGTAATATAGTTTGATCGTATTTTAGCAACCTTAACGCATCGAATGTATATTCTAACTCAAAAACGGTCTTTGACACTAACCAATGCCTTAATTAAAGTGGGCATGTTATCAAGGCCAATCAAAACTTGAACAACCCTATAAACTTGACAGCAG